CTTGAAATATTGAGTAGTAGTTTTAATTTAATCTTCCAAGTAAGATCTTGAAAATTTTTTTCTAAAAACTTATAAAGGTTCCCATTATCAGTATATTGAAATACTATCAAATATTCATTTTCACTTTTTTGAGTTAATCCATATATCTTAAGCCTACTACCATACAAATTACATTTTACATAACTTGCAAACTTTGTAATTAATTAAAGAATTAGTTCATTGTATATTTAACAAATTGTTGGATTAATAATTTTTAACTCACTTCTTCTAAAGATCCAGAAAAGGTCTTGAGTGCAACGATGCTGGATGTTTCACGTCCTCTTACATAGTTATAATCATCGCCATCAACTTTTCGAATGCCTTTCAACCAAACTGCTGAATATACAGAACCAAATCCTCCTTTACCAATTTCTTTAACATCAGATAAACTATCAAATGGAATCCATTCAATAGCATTTTCATATGCAAAGGTTCTAAATTGGAATGTTTTTATGCAATCATCAATACACTTATTACTACTTGTCCACTTCGTTATCTTGTAAGGGTCACACGATAGACACCATGCTTTATAAGTGTTATTTTCGTTACAATGTACGCATTTCCCATATTTAGAATCTCTGTATAATAATACATAGTTTTATTTCGATCTATAATTTAAGCTTTATGTCTAATGCAAATAAATTTTTATACTCACCGACTAAATTAATTTGAATGAAATGATTTGTATGTAATAGTAAATAAATAATTGGTTTTTTTTCGTAAACTTGTTTTACTGTTTTTATTTTAGAATTATAAATGTTTTATACTCACCGACTTAGTTTTGATGCGAATAAAATGATTTGTACATAATGGATAAATAAGTATTTATATTCTTATTTGTAAGCTTTTTTTTTATTTGCTGAAGTTATTAAATATCCTTTATACTTACTAAGTTAATGCGAATGAAATGATTTGTGCGTAATGGAAAAAAAATTTATGATTGTTTTGTGAACTTGTTTTGCTGTCTTTATTTCTAGAAATTATTAAATGCTTTTATACTCACTCACTGAATAAAATATTTTGTACGTAAGTACTTATGTGCTTGCTGTATGAACTAATTTTGCAGTTTTTTTTTAAAAAAAATTACTAAAGTTTCTTATACTCACAGACTAAATTAATATAAATGAAATGATTTGTATGTAATGGTAAATAAGTATTTATGTTCTTGCTTTGTGAACTTGTTTTGCTGTTTTTATTTCTAGAAATTATTAAAGATTCTTTATACTCACTAACTAAATTAATGCGAATGAATTATTTGTAAGTAATGGTAAATAAGTATTTTATGTTGTTTTGTGGACTTGTCTTACTGTTCTTATTTCTGGAAATAATTAAATTTCTTCATACTCACTCACTGAAAGAAATGATTAATGCGAATGAAATGATATGTTCGTAATAACAAATAAGTATTTTTTTTTTTCTTAATTTTGAACTTTATTCGTAAAATTGATAAATATTTTTTATACTCACAGACTAAATTAATGATTTGTACGTAGTGGTAAATTAGTATTTATGTTATTTTTTTTGTGAATTTGTTTTGCTAGTTTTTTTTTTTATTTCTAGAAATTATTAAATGTCTTTATGCTCACCCACTGAATTAATGCGAAATGAAATGATTTTTGTAAATAAATATTTATGTTCTTGATTTATTTCTTCTTTAAATTAAATATTTTATATTTACCGACTACATTAAAAAAAAGTATACTCTGTATTGTGAACTTGTTTTACTGTTTTTATTTCTAGAAATTATTAAAGATTCTTTATACTCACAGACTAAATTAATACGAATGAAATGATTTGTACGTAATGTTAATAAGTATTTGTGATGAACTTTTGTTTTTGAAATTATTAGATGTTCTTTATACTCACTAACTAAATTAATGCGAATAAATAATTTGTACGTAATGGTAAATAACTAATTATGTTCTTGTTTCGTGAACTTGTTTTGCTGTTTTAATTTTAGAAATTATTAAACTCACCGACTAAAATTAATGCATATAAAATGATTTGTATATAATGATAAATAAATATTTTATGTTCTTTGTTTTGTGCACTTGTTTGCCGAGTATTATTTTTATTTCTAGAAATTATTAAATGTTCTCTATACTCACCCACTAAATTAATGCGAATGAAATAATTTGTATGTAATGGTAAAATAAGCATTTATACTCTTGTTTTGTGAACTGGGTTTGCCGATTTTATTCCTAGAAATTATTAAATGTCTTTATACTCACCCACTAAATTAATGCAAATTGAATGATTTTTTTTGTGAACTTGTTTTTACTGTTTTTATTTTTAGAAATTAATATATGCTTTTATACTCACTAACTAAAATTAATACGAAAGAAGTAATAGTAAATAAGATTCATGATCTAGTTTTGCGAGCTTGTTTTGCTATTTTTATTTGTAGATATTATTAAATACTCTTTATACTCACAGACTAATTAATGCGAATAAAATGATTTGTTCGCAATGATATATAAGTATTTATGCTTTGACTTATTTCTAGAAATTATTATGTTTTTTATACTTACGCACTAAATGAAATGATTAATGCGAACGATAAGTATTTATGCACTTGTTTTGTGAACTTGTATTGTTGTTTTTATTTCTAAATATTTAAATATTCTTTATACTCACAGACTAATTAATGAGAATGAAATGATTTGTATGTGAATAGTAAATAAGTATTTATGTTCTAGTGAAGCTTTTTTACTGTTTTTATTTCTAGAAATTATTAAATGTTCTTTTACTCACCCACTAAATTAACGTGAATGAAATAATTTGTGCATAATGGTTAAATAAATGTTTATGTTCATGTTTGTAAACTTTATTTCTAGAAATTATTAAATTTTATACTTACCGACTAAATGAAATGATTTGTACAGTACGCAATGGTAAATAAGTATTTGTTTTCTGCTTTGTGAACTTGTTTTACTGTTTTTATTTCTATAATCTGTTAAATATTCTTTATACTCACAAACTGAATGAAATGATTTGACGTAATGGTATTAAATATCTATGATAAACTTGGTTTGTTTCTAGAAATTAAATGTTTTTATACTCACTGACTAAATACGAACGAATGATTTTCACGTAATGGTAAATAAATATTTATGTTCTTGTTTGTGAACTTATTGCTGTTTTTATATCGAAATTATTTATGCTCTTTTATACTCACCAACTAAATTTAATGATTTGTACGTAAGTATTTAAGACTTATTTTGTAACTTGTTTTTCCGATTTTATTTCTAGAGATTATTAAACGTTCTTTATACTCACTAACTAAATTAATACGAATGAAGTGATTTATAAATAAGTATTTATTCTTTTTTTGTGATTAAAAATTAGAAACAAATGTTCTTTATACTTACGGGCTAAAATAACTGACAGTGAGTATTTATGGCTTAAATTGTTTATATGTGGAAATAATTTTTTTTTTACTTACTCCCTAATAAATAAAATTATGCTAGAGATTATTTCAATTTTTTAATTTTTAAAATTAATTATAAAAATTAAATACTTACTTATTAATCCATTCAGAAAATTTACCATAATTCTTTTCCACGCCAATTCCGTACCTGTAACAAATAGCAGTTTTCCAAGCTCCCATTGCGTTACCCGCCTCAGCAGACTTCAAATAATATGTAAACGCTTTATGCTTATCGACTTCAACTCCAATTCCTAAATAATAACAATAGCCAACTTGATGCATTCCGTTAGAATTGTTCATGTCCGCTGATTTTTGATAATAAATAAATGCCTTGTTATCATCATTTCCAACCCCAATTCCATATTCATAACAATATCCAAGCCTGTACATTCCGTCTGGATTGTTCATATCAGCAGTTTTTTGGCAACTAGTGAAATTAAGCTGATCGAAATCATCGATTAATTTTGTCAAGTTTTCCTTCACCACTTTTGTTTATGAAAAATAAAAAAAATCGATATTAATGCATCACACCGACACTGTCTTAGTTATTACAATATTACAGTACTTACAGTCTGCTGAAATAGTGACCTTTTCTGCCTTAATTTTTTCCAAAAATTGAATAGCTTTAGGCTGATTTTTTAAAGCTGCCAATTTAATATATGACTC